TAACTCATTCCTTATCTAGAGGCAAGATTCATCTTATTTCTACTGAGCCTGTAGTAATTATCACCAAAAGTCTGGGTCTGCAGGGTTGTTCCACCCAAGCTCACAGCATAAGAAGTGAGTGAGAGACCCAAGCAGGGCCTCAGTGTTTTCACAGAGCATCAGTTTGGAGACCTGTGTCTGTTCAGAAAAGGTGCTGGTATGGTGCCTTCATTAATATCAAAAGGTTATTTAATAGGTGTATTTTAACTGTGTTACTTTTGTTTTCACAGGCTCCAGGTTACGGAGATGTTAGGCTCTCTTTAGAGGCCATCCCAGATACAGTGAACCTAGAAGAACCTTTCCGTATTACCTGTAAAATCACAAACTGCAGGTAATGCCAATGTGTGTGACTGGGCCTCCTTTCTCCTCACCTAAAAGTTCTTGCAAATCCTTTAATTATCCCCCTGCCCTCTTTTAGTTTTTTGAGACAGTGTCTCTGTATAGCCCTAGCTGTCCTGGAGCTCACTCTATAAACCAGGCTGGCCTCAAACTCAGAGATCTGCCTGCCTCTGCCTCCCCAGCGCTGGGATTAACGGGGTGCGTGCACCTCTGCACTCCTTTATATATCTTGTCCCTTCTTATATTGAATACTATAACACTGCTAATGATGTTTACATATTTGAGGCCCTAATATTTACTTCCTGTGTTCTAATTTCATTCATTAATCATAATATGTGGTGGGTATTAATTATTGATAGTCTGTGGAAGAGAGCTAGAAAAGGCCACATTTAAGAATGAGCTGGCATAGATGATGAGTGTTGTAATTTTAAAAAGCAGCATTTGAGAGAAAGACACCATGCGACAGAGCTTGGGTAGAAGGGTTTTTTATTGGGGGAAAGTGAATTGGAAACTGGGGAAGGGGAGAGGGGAGACCAGTCTCTGTGGACAGGAGTGGCAGAAGAGGAGTGGGGGGGACAGAGATGGGCAGAGAGAAAGAGAGGAAGATGGGAGGTGGACAGCGCCTGTTTAAAAGGGAAAGTAGTAAATGTGCACAGGTGGTGCTTTTAGTGGCTGCAACTGAGGGCGTATCCTGTCAGAACCCCAAGGACAGGCCAGTAAAGATGCCTGAATAGAGTATTCAGATACATTTCTGTGATGCTTGAACCTGAACCATGTCTTTAGTATTAACAAGAAGAAATGTTAAAATAAGAGGAACTTCTAGGTTGGAAAAATGATTCTGATTTTTTGTCTATTGCCTATTTTCTTTGGTAATGTTCTCCAAGACAGTCTTATTATATAGCCCAGACTGACTTGAACTTGTAGTCTTCTGAGTAATGGGAATACAGGCTAAAGTTTTTTGTCTTCTTTTTGAGATTGTCTTACTGTGTAGCCTTGGCTTGCCTGGAACTGCTATGTAGACCAGGCTGATGTGAAATCCATAGAGAACCACTAGCCTTTGTCTCCTGGAGTGATAGGATGAAAGGCATCCACCACCACACCCAGCCATGAAGCAGTTTTGGCAGTAAACAGAAGAAGCAAATCATAGACAGCTTAAAGCATTAAAAAATTAAATTCTATCAAAGTGGTTTTGCTAACACATTATTAGTTTGAGTACTGCAATAGTATTGCAATGATGAATCACCCTTTTAGTATAGCTGTATAATCACTTTACTTTCATACCCATCCAATCCTGTGTTGTAAGGATATAGGAAATATCCTTCAAAATTAGAGAAATGCCTGATTCTCTATGAAGCTACTAGATATACTACTACTACTACTACTACTACTACTACTACTACTACTTTGTTATGTTATTGTTTTGAGCAGAGTCTCTAACCCAGGCTGGCATTGAACTCCTGTAAAGCTGAGGATGACCTTGAACTTCTGATCTCCTACCCCCACTTCTCAGGTCAGGTGCTCAATAGGATTACAGGTGTGCACTACCATGCTGTTCTTGACATGCTAGGGATCAAAGTTGGGGTCTTGGATGCTAGGGATGGATACCAACTGATCTGCATTCCCAGCCCCTCAGTCTTTTTCATAGAAAGTTTTAGTTTTGTGGTAACATCCATGGGTTGCTGTTCCTCTTTATCTCTCTCTGACTGGATTGTAAATTATTCAGGAGAGACAGATCTTAACAGTTTACATACAGTGCTTGCTGATCATATGATCTTAGTGAACATTCAGGCAAAAATGTGTAAATATAGGGGATTCCAGGGGACTTTTATTTTGAGTTTTTTTGGGGGGGTGTCAAAAAAGCTTATTGACTAACTGATCATACTGTGAAAATTTTTAAACTAATTTTTTGATGTTCATTTTAATGTAGTGGTTTTCTAAACCACTTTAACAGTTTCAATTTCATTTCCTCATCTATGAAAATCAAATCCCAAATATACAAACGTGGATATAGGCATACAACATACAATATAAAAACATTATGGCAGAGAGCAAAGGGAGACTGGGGAGTAGCCCCGTTGGTGGAATGCTTTCCTAGGATGTACAGTGCCCTGACTTTGACCTCTAGCTGGGGACACATACTTGTAACACAAGCACTGGAGAAAGAGGGAAGAGACCAAAAGTTCGAGGTTATCTTCAGCTACAAAGGGCAGTCCAGAGTACAAGAGACCTAGTCTCCAGACTCTTAGGGGTAAGCTTGCTTAGTGGTTTAGGGCACTAAGCATGACCTGAGTCTGAGTTCCAGAACCCACATGGAAGAGGGATAGAGCCACATGCACACCAGCACAAGCATACTGGCACATACACACATACATGAAATTAAATAAATAAATAAATAAATAAATAAATAAATAGATAGATAGATAGATAACTGTTAGAGTAAACAACTTTCTAGGTTTTTATAGAATTTACTGAGAAAATTGTGTTGTCCATCTAAAATGGTCTCTAACACAGGTTATTTCTAATGTTTGTTAGAGAGATAGAAACATGTAAAGCAAATATAATTTTAATATGTAAGTTAAATTCTAAGTAAATATTAAAATAGGAGCCAAATCCTAAGACACACAGAACTGAAGAACTGAACGTAATTACAATACACTAGGAATCTAGTCCTTCTGAACTTTAACATAATTTCGTTGAAAACTTTGAAAATGAGCATGCTAAAGCTGAACTAGTAGTGCCTGCCAATAGAGGAGTTTTCATGGGGACACAGTGAGCAAGCATGAATGGCTTTTACTTCTGAGTCTTGCCAGTCATTTCCTGTTAGTTGCAGGCTAAGAGAACAGATCGTTTGTCAAAAGACTTAGGTTGTCCTTCCCTATGGAGTTCCCAGTACAAAGAGTAGGAGGCAGCAATAAAATGAGACCCGAATGTCTGAAGTACAGAGAAAAGGCAAGGCTGGTGTAAGGCTTCTGTAAGCCTGAAAGATGCTATGCCCTCATTCTGTCCTTTTGTTTGTTTTGCTTTTGAGACAGTACCTCCTTATAGCCCAGGCTGGCCTCACACTGGCTATATGGCTGATGTTGGCCTTGAACTTGTGATCATCCTACTTCTAACTCCCAATGGTCCCTGGCACCTTCATATTATCTTAAGTTAAATAATGACATGCTCATTTTTCCATTCTTTTTCTGGTTTTTATTCTCCTGGACACCCAGAAGGTAAACTTAATGAAAAACAGAAGGAATGCGATGGTGTTTCCTTAGGAAATAAACAAGATTTATTCCTGTTCTCTGATTGTTTCAGCAGTGAAAGGACGATGGATCTGGTCCTGGAAATGTGCAATACCAATTCTATCCACTGGTGTGGGATTTCTGGAAGACAGCTGGGAAAGCTGCATCCAAGCTCCTCACTCTGCCTGGCCCTGACTCTCCTGTCTTCGGTACAGGGGCTCCAAGTACGTTCTTTTTTTGGTAATCAACAGGATGAGCTAAATTATCATTTCTGATAGCTGTATTTTCTCTAGTAATTATCAGTGAGTGAAAACTGAAGTGCCTCTGTCTCTCTTTCTCTCTAGAGTATCTCTGGCTTAAGACTCACTGACACATTCTTAAAGAGAACATACGAATATGATGACATTGCACAAGTCTGCGTGGTCTCATCAGCTGTGGAAGTGGAAGCCTAAAGAAAATTTCTGATGTTAAATATCTTGTTTAATTACAGAACTGCTCTCTATATTTTGTCAGCTTTGTGAAATTATCATTAGCAAAAATAAGTATATGTTATTTAAATTTGTTTTCTGTAAAACAGTTAAATATTAAATATTTGTTGTAAAAACAATAGTTTTATCTTGTGAATTATATTCTGAATGAACAGAACATTTCCATATTTTCTACACATATTTCATGACCTTTAAGACAACTGGCAGGTTTGTTTTCAACAAGCTCAATTTTTGAGGCTTTTTGTCTATCAAGTATCTTTTTGTAAAGGCAGACCTTTTTGTAAAGACCCATGTATCAGGTGTCTTGGGCTCTGGAGACAGGTGAGTTCTGCCATCTGAGTACAATAGCAGAAATTTAGTTAATCGTAGTTAACTAGACTCTTTCCTAGGTTCTTAGCCAACAGAAAAGCCTTGTCTGAAACAATTCAGGTCCCCTTCCTATAACCCAATTTTTTGTTGTTGTTGTTTTTGTTGTTGTTGTTTTGTTTTGTTTTTCAAGACGGTTTCTCTGTGGCTTTGGAGGCTGTCCTGGAACTAGCTCTTGTAGACCAGGCTGGTCTCGAATCACAGAGATCCACCTGCCTCTCTGCCTCCCAAATTCTGGGATTAAAGGCAAGAAATTACTATTTTTTTTATTCTATTTTATTTATTTATTATGTATACAACATTCTGCTTCCATGTATATCTGCACACCAGAAGAGGGCACCAGATCTCATAGCGGATGGTTGTGAGCCATCATATAGTTATTGGGAATTGAACCCAGGACCTCTGGAAGAGCAGTCGGTGCTCTTAACCTCTGAGCCATCTCTCCAGCCCGAAATTAATATTATTATTATTATCATTATTATTTGGGTTTTTTGAGACAGAGTTTCTCTGTGTAGTTTTAGAGCCTGTCCTGGAACTCACTGTAGACAAAGCTGATCTTGAACTTACAGAGATCTGCCTGCTTCAGCCTCCTGAGTGCTGGGATTAAAGGCAGGTGCCACCACTACCCAGCTAGAATTATTTTCATAATACACATTTAAATGATTCCCAGCTTCATATCTGATTTTTAACTCATATCATGTACTAATATAAAAGTTTTGTCTGTCCATATAATCATACCCATTTGTATCAGAAACAAATCAGCAAAAAAAAAAAAAAAAAAAAAGAGAGAGAAAGAAAAAGAAAAAAAAATAAGGCCTTAAACAGCTTTGCAATAGTAATATAACAAACTGTTTCCCAATTAGTCAGGAAAACAAAACATCCATGATGTTAAATAAGCCTTATCCTATTTTGACAAGTTGAAATTCCCCAGTATATAACTGATTACATATTAAGAATGCATTAAATCAGACACAAAACATTTGTCTTAAATGCATAATTATTTATTGCCATGACAAATTATTTGGTCCAAAAATGAAAGGTATATTCAGAAGGCTTGACCCTCACATTAGTCATAATTGATGAATGTCTATGCAAAACAAAATGCAAGCATTGAGAACTGAAGTCGGTTCCTTAGGATGACAGAGACTGGTCCAGTCAGTCTTTATCAGCATTATCTCAAGCGTCTTCTCATGACTGAACCATGCCTTCATTCATTCAGAATTTAAAAGTTACTCTGCTTTATACTTTTAATTACAAAGTCTCTTCTGTGTATAAACAACATAAGTACATACTATTCATACTCTAAATAAAAGTAAGATAAATACCATCTTATTAAGGATCTGTGTCAACTATTATAAAAACTAGAGTGATGATTTGGTACAGTAAATGAAATTCCATTTCCATAAAAAGGGCATGTTCAGTTTTGCATAGCACAGTAACAGTTTCAGCTACTCCAATGAAATGGGCTTATGGAAGCCAGGCATTCCTAATTAGAATGTATATAAGTACTCAATGCTGTCCTGCTTCTCTTAGCAAGTGTATTTTCCAGACAAGGGGAAGAATTCTTGGGGAAGTGTCTGAGAATTTTAAGACAGCTAGCACAATCAGGCCACACACACACACACACACACACACACACACACACACACACACACACACACACAAATCCTGAAAATAGCTTGCAGTGTGACGACTCCAATGTGATGGAGAGACCTGAAGAGTAAAAGGTGTCCTGAATAGAAGGAAACTCCATGAAGTGGGAAGCGACATCTGGCAGTATATTCGTTCCCAAAGAAACAAACTAAAAAAAGTGAAATGGAAGATACACACAAGTTCTATTTTGTGTAAAAGGAAGAGCTACTAAGGATGTTAGCACAGGAAGTCAGTGTTCCAGAGCCACTGATGAGAACTGTTCATTCTTAGCGGGATATTGCTGGCCAAGTGAACTAGTTCTTCCTCTTCTGTTTTCTGAGAGTCCTATAGAGCGGATATTATTCTCTCCTAAGACTTTGATAGAGTTGACCACTGAAATCATCTGAACCTATGGGTTTTTTTTGTTTGTTTGTCCTGGCAAGTACTAAAATTTCTTAACAAAGACTGGCCTATTCAGGTTATCTTCACAAAGACTGGTTTCCAAAAGTTATTAAATACAAAATTCTAGGGCAAGTCATAGTGTTTTCTAATTGTCCTTTTTGCTTTTTGGGTTATTTTGTTTCCTAGTGGGGGTTTTGTTTGTTTTATTTTTGAAACAGGGTCTCCTGTATCCCAGGCTGGCATCATACTCACTATGTAGCCAAGAATGATGCTGAATTACTGGTCCTGCCTCTACCTCTCAAATGTTGGGATTACAAGTGCACCTTGTCATTCCAGTTCCATGCAGTATAGGGAAGGAGTGACCCAGGGCTTCATGCTAGATAAGCACTACCAACCGAACTATGCTCCCCACCACCATAGTTTCCCTTTTAACATCTATAGGATCTGTTCAGTAGTATAGCTGCTCTTTTTTTTTTATTTTTTTTCTTTTTGAATGCAGTGATGGAATTGAACTCATGGTCTCATACACCAGGCAAGCACTCTCACTTTCATCTCTGATACTGTTAATTTGTATTTTCTGTTTCCTGGTCAGCACACTAAGGATTCACCAGTTTTATTTAACTGAAAGCATGTTCTAGGATTATGAACATTCAACACTGGGTGGTTGTTTTAGTTGTCAACCTCGAATTTTCTTTGATTGTAAACTTTGTGCAGCCAGTGAGTGCTTCACCCTGTGTAAGGAACACTCGATGCTATGTAACAGGTAATACAACACAGTTCTATGTCAGAGGTTCTCCTGTTCTCTACCAGAACTGTGTTTCCTGTCTATCCCACAAGAGCCTGAGCCTAGGTGCTTGTTGGCTACTTGAGGAGAGACCTCCAACTTTATGTTGTTCTAAAGTTGAGTCCTAACTGCATGGTGCACTGTTTAAATCGGTGAACTAAACCAAATTTGATAATAAGACCCTAAATCAGAATTTTTAATTCATCTCCCCAACATGTTTATAGTGAAATTACAAAACCACTGTCTCACAAAAGGCAAAAAAGAAAAGCTTTTGAAACCTCAAGACACTAAATACAGGAACTGTGGGAAGGTCCTTACTGCCTCATTAATTTTAAATTACTTTCTTTTTCACCTTTCCCTCATCACATGTAAAATCATTACATACCAGCCCCCATTTAACCAATTCCATTTAAAACTGGAATTTTTTTCATCCATCAATGTACCTAGAGTCATGCCATTAGTATCTCATGCCATTTCCTTCTACTAACCATATGCCAGATGCATAAATATAAGATACTTGAAGTCTCCTGTTATGTTTAAATTTCAATAAATTAAAATTAAGCATAAGACTGGCATGCCAAGCCAAACTACAGCAGAGGATTACACAAATGAGCAATGATAGCAATAGATGCCTTTGTTATCCAGCAAATAATGGTAAAGTTAAAAAACAATCATTGTTGATGGGCACAAATTAAATTCCACTTAGAAATCCCATAACTTGGGGTCAAGTCAGTGGCTTTTTTAGTGTAAAAAGATATTGCCCTAGGTAAGTTTCCCACGAATGAAACTGTGACAATTAAGCTGAGATAATTAATAGAGCAGTTGTGTTCACTGACGTGACCAGTACCGTTAAGGATCTCTAAGTGTGTTTCATTGTGTACTTCACTGGCCATGCGAATGCTATTAACACTACACCACAGACAAGACTAGTTACAATTACAGAGAAAACCTGAGCATACCACCTTTGCTTTCTGTACATTCACAGTATCTTCAAAGCATCACCTGCACCCAACATGGCTTCCTGCCATCTGAAGATCCCATCACCAGTAAAAGCTGCCCTAAGATAGTACTGGTGCCCATGGCAGACATGTTACTGATGGAAGCACATACCAAAGTTTCTCTCCTGACATGTTGCCAGGCACATGTCTTCTAAACCAGCATGATGAGAAGTCTTTCCACTCAGTAGCCTCTCTCTCAAAACCATGGCTTAGGGAAACCTGTAGCTAAAGAACTTTATCCAATAAATAGCCCTACTAGTCAATAAATATACTCTGTACTGTCTGATATACAAATATGATGATAAAAGTTTTAAAATGGATGGGCCCTTTTCCAAGGCTGGATTAGCACTTAACAAGGCTACTGATGGTTTGTTTCCAAAGGAGTTGGGAATATGTTCAAGTCTGCTTGTGATAAACTATTTTCTAAATGGATGGATTCTCTCAGGTTAACACAAGAGACTTTCCTCCATTATTCTCAGACATTGTGTAGGGTGGATTTTTTGTTACTTTGTTTTGACTATTGTCTACAGGTGGACATGTCAGAACCATAACTATGTGTACTGGGCGAGGGTCCTGATCAAGTCAGGAGTGTTCTTCCGTACTGCTGCTGAACGACCTGCTCCGGATGTGATTTCTCAGCTGCTCTATCAGTTCAGGGTTCTGTTGCTGTATCTGCTGAGCAAACTGCTGTCCCCTGCAGGAAAAAGGCAGAATAAACTGGGTGGGGACTTTCTAGTCACAGAATCTGGATGCAAAATGAACTGCAGAAGCCGGGGGAACTACCCAAGAGAATTTCTCCTATAAACACAAGTTTTAGAACCCTAACATTACCAATACCCCACCTAGCATTACTACAGACAGACAGCTCGCAAGGTGTGTGTGTTTGTGTGTATATCTGTGTGTATGTGTGTATGTATGTATGTATGTGTGTCTGTGTGTATGTCTTTCTTTGTGTCTGTGTGCGTACATGTCTCTCTCTCTCTCTTCCTCTCTCTCTCTCTCTCTCTCTCTCTCTCTCTCTCTCTCTCTCTCTCTCTGTGTGTGTGTGTGTGTGTGTGTGTGTGTGTGCGCGCGCGTGCACATGGTGTGCAGGTACACAAGCCAAGGCCAGGAGGGATGCCGGTGTCTTCCCCTATCACTTCCTGTCTTTCCCTGAACCTAGGACTTGCATTTTCTTGGGTAACCTGGAAGCCAGCAAGCACCAGTAGTGCTCCTGTCTCCACCCCTTTAAGTCGTGGTGTTAGAGGTGTATGTGGATGCCCAGGTCCTGGAGTGGGTACTAAGATCAGAACTCCTGTTCTCATTGTGTAACAAGTGCTCTTTACTTCTGAACCACATCTCTAGCCCAACAGAACCCTTTCCTACATTCCTAAGATTCTAGGTTCAAGCCCAGTACCTCATTAAACACATTCATACACAGTTTTGAAACAGGATAGTAGTAATGTCAACAATTCTAGCAGTTGGGTGGGAGGGGCAAGAACATCAAGAGTTCAAGACCACCCTCAGCTACAAGGACAGCATGATCTACATAAAAACTCTATCTCAAAAAATAGAATTTAGATGGTTTTTACAAGCCGCATGAGGTTCCTTGGGTCCGCTCACTTTTCTGAGTCCTGATGAAATTCCTATTCTTTTGTTTTTGTCTCTTTCACTTGGATGCTGTTCAGAAACTGCACAAAATTATTCTGATGCTCTGAAGCCCCTCCCCACGTGTTGCTTATGATGTTGCTGCCATGTGGCTGACCTCCATGCTGGCTTGGCTCAAAGAACATGGATATTTCTGGAGAGGAAAGGGGGTTGTTTGTTCAGATTTTTGTTCTTATTTTCAGTTCTCTGATTCTTCTCTGGACAGCTGCTGAGATTTATAGCTTGCCTGTTCTGCGGCTTTTCCTTTAAACGCTAACAAAATGGTCCTTGAGATTACAATAAAATGAGTATCACAAATCCTTGAGTTTGTGACTTCAATTACATGTATTAAACATGACAGTCATGCCACTTAAAGATCACTCTAAAAATTCAATATTCGAAGTGGTGAGTGATTGTAACTACAAATTAGAAACTGGAACTGTGGCTTCCTATAAACTTAGCAGTGGCAGTATCAAACACACATTCAAATTTTAGTGACATGGGCAATTCTGACTTGAGTATGTGGAGCCAATGAGAAGAAACACTGCAGAGGCTTGTTTGAACTGCCTGAGTGTTCCGAACATTAATAATCTAATGTGATTTTGAAACTCATTTTACTTATTTTTGTGATGCTGTCAATTAAACTCAAATAAGTGTTCTACTACTAAAGAAAGGGTGTTTTTCAGCCATGTATGGGGGCCCATGTTTGTAATCCCAGCACACTCAGGAAGATCACCCTAAGATGGGCTACATAGCAAGACTATGTCTCTTCAAATTTTAAATATAGACCTGTACCTACTTAATACATGTTTTCAGTAGACATATGACTACCACTTAAATCCCAGAGTGGTTATTTAAGCTTACAAAATTAAAAAAAAAAAATTCTTGGATCTTCATTTGTAAAAGTGCAGGGTTAATTGCTTTACATATGAGATCACAATGCATGTGCATCACTAAGCAGGTCACCAATCCTTAGGGACCCTCTGTAAGTGTAGATGACAGTACTGATATGGAGGACCCTAATTTGATACCAAAAGCAACAAAAATTTAGCTGTAAAGCAAAAGATGGAACTCTGGTGGATGCTCTGAGCCCTCAGGAAGTTACGACTTATTCCTCAGCTCATCTAGCTACCAATTATGGATGGAAACTAGCCATATTTTTGTTTTTGTTTTGTTTATCTGTTTATTTGCTTGCTTGCTGTGACAGGGTATCATTATATAAACCTGGCTGGTCTGGAACTCACAGAAATCCACCTGCCTCTGCTTACCATGTGCTGGAATTAAAGGTGCATGTCTTTAATTTAAGTAGGGTTCTGCCTACTTTTCCTGCTAATAACTTCCTAAAGATCTGCTCATATTTGGGGGTCCTATGGAGAGAGAAAGAAGTCTGTGAGCATGCATGATTTTCCTCAAGAGAGAGCTGACCACATAGTCTAGGTCTTCTAAATGTAACTCCTATTTATCAACTTCTTAGAGCTTTAGTACATTTAATTAGCTAGTCATTTTAACAGTAAGAGATTGAAATGAAAGCCTTGACCCCTTAGAAACAAACTGTATGACTCTGGAACTAATCAACAATCTATACTGGTTAGTGTTTGTCAATTTGACATAAACCTAAACGTATCAAGGAAGAAGGAATATCAACAGAAGAACTGCCTCCATCCAATTGGCCTGCAGTCAAGTCTGTGAAACATTTTTCTGATTAATGACTAATATGTGAGGGCCCAGCACACTAGAGGCAGTACCATCCCTGAATAGGTGGTCCTCCATTGTAAAGGAAAGCAAGCTGGGAGAACCATAGAGAACAAGCCAACAGGCAGTGTTCCTCTGCTTCAGTTCCTGCCTCCAGGTTCCTGCCTCGAGTTCCTGCCCTGATTTTCTCTTCATGGTGCACTATAAACTGTAAAATGAAATAAATCTTTTTCTCCTCAACTTGCATTTGGTCTTATCAGTCTTATAGAAAGCAAACTAGGACAAACTTTACTCACGCTTGGATGAGGCTAGACAGGTCTGTTAGGCCTCCAACTCCAGCAGCAGGTCCCCCAATGGCATTTGTCATCATTCCTGACATTCTAGGATAATAAAAAATACACCAGGGAGATTAGCATATAGTCTTTCCAGGAATGAAGTCAGTCAACTCTATCAGCGCCATAGAAAGGGTTGTATCAGATGTTTAAGGTGAACCTAAGTTCTAAGTGACTGGAATTCAGTGCATTTTTACCAATTGTGAGATGACATGCTCAAATTAGGAGTCTAGCAAAGAGAAGGCAAAGGCATAAAGAGCCCTTTATACTTACAGCTGTTGAACTTGAGGGTTCTGCATTAAACTTGCAGCCTATAATTAAAAATAGTATTGCCCATTAAAATATGACAGTAATGCTTACAGATGTTATAAAGATTGTGTAAAGGTAAAGGAATGAAACCTAATGATGAGCACCCTAACGTTGGGTGGCATTTTAGCATGCTATACAAGTAAATGGGACAGTACAAGAGAGAAGGTACTGTAGAAACTGGTGTCAAACAGGGATGTCAGATTACAGACACACACACACACACACAAAAAAAAAAAAACATTGTTAGCCAGGCAGTGGTGGCACATGCCTTTAATCCCAGCACGTGGTAGACAGAGGAAGGGGATCTCATTGAGTCTGAGGCCAGCTTGGTCTATATAGTGAGTTCCAGGATAGCCTCCAAAAGTTACAGAGAAACCCTGTCTCGAAAACAAACAAACAAAACATTGTTAATGGAGGACATTGCCATGACTGATCAGATCAATAGATCAAAAGGGAAAAAGAGAAACTTTAAAACTGTAAAGATCTGGTGCTTCTTTTCTTTGTTTTTTGTTTGTTTGTTTGTTTGTTTTTTGAGACAGGGTTTCTCTGTGTAGCTCTGGCTGTCCTGGAACTTGCTCTGTAGACCAGGCTAGACTCAAATTTAGGGTTAAAGGTATGTATCACCACTACAAGGATGAGATTGTATACTTATTTTTTTAATTTATTTATCTATTATGTATACAGTGTTCTGTCTGTATGTACACCTGCAGTGTACCAGCTCTCACTACAGATAGTTGTGAGCCACCATGTGGTTGCTGGGAATTGAACTCAGGACCTCTGGAAGAGCCCCCAGTGCTCTGAACTACTGAGCCATCTCTCTAGCCCAAGACTGTGTACTCTTAATAAGGATGAGGCCACGGAGCTAGCTGCATGTGACTGACTGTGCTACTGAGACCAGAACAGCTCTTTGTAATGGGCTGGAGATGAAGGAAGGCCTCCCTGCTTCCTTCACAGAGCAACAATGGCAGGCCAGTAAATCTTCAAAATGCCATTTTAATCAACTTTCATCCATTTCTATTACTATTACTTTTCTTTATTTTGACAGTACTGAGGATCGAATCCAGGACTTCTTGAACACTAAGCATATGTCCCAACTCTCAACCCTGACTTTACTTATGTGTTCATGTATGTGTGTATTAGAGCAGTGCTGAGCAGTCAAGTGTAGGGCTTCAAGAATGCTATCCAGGTGCTCTGACACTGAGCTCCACCCACATCCTCACCCTGGCCCCTTTTTTAAGAATCAAAAAGATGTGCTTTTAACCCTCATCTTTTGCAACTCCTACATGGTGTTGTCACACCTTATTTTGGTATGTAGCAGCTTAGAGACTAAATTTAACCTGAAACTAAATTCCATTTTCATATTCTGTTACAGTAATATAACCTGAGAACATAACTTGCTCATAACCTAGAAATGAGCAAGCCAGGTTTTAAAACATCACAAGACTTAAAAGGGGGTATGTGTTTGCCAGCAAGTAGGTGAGAAGGCCAACTGAGTTGATAGAGAACTGTGTATTTTGGTTGAACTAAGGATTTGGTGATTGTAAAACATATTTATTTGAACAAAGATGAATAGGAACTGATCCTATTCCAGAAGCACAGAATATGATGGAATGCTGGTGTTTTTGTTTTGAAACAGGGTCTCACCTATGTAACCAAGGCTGGCCTCAAATCCTGTGTAGGCAAGGCTGACCTAAAGCTCTCCATCTTACTCCCTCAGACTTCCAATGCAGGGATTGCAGACATTCATTACCATGCTAGGCAGCAGAATATTTTCATGCAAAATATGCAGTCATTTAAGAAGTACTATAGACCCAGGTAACATACTATACCCACTAAGTACTGGACTGGATCATGATTGTTTTTCAAAGATCCCTAAGGTATTTTGTTGATTTGAAGAACACAGAGCAAGTCTAGGGATTTGCTTAGTTGCCTAGGATGCATGAAGTCCAGGGTTCAGTCTCCTGCATTGCATAAACTGAATGTCGTAGTGCATGCCAATAATCCCAGCATTTAGGAGACAGAAAGATCAAAAATGCAAGGTCACCTTCAGCTGCATACCAAGTTTGAGGCCAGCCTGGGCTACATGAGGAGCTGTTTTTTTTTTTCTTTCCCACGTCCCTTTTTTTTCCATTCATTTATTTAGTTCATAAATAAAGTCATGCACAATTATGATACACAATACAGTATGTTCACAATGGCATGGCTAAATTAAACCAATTAACATGTTATATCACACATATTCACCATTTTTGTTTTGAGAAACTTAAAGTATACTATCTCACAACTTTTAAAATATAGCCTATTGTTATCAACCATATTTATCATGCTCTCAGTAGAGCTCAAGACATCACAGAGTCCATGCCTCTTGTCCAACTGCAGTTTTATATCCTTAAACCAATCATTTCCCCATTGTTAAAAGACCCACATTGAAGCTTAATAGCCACAATTCTGCTCTCTGTTCCCATAAGTTCATCATTTCTAGGTTACACATAAAATTGAAATTGTGTGACATTTGTCTTCCAGTGTATCACTTATTTATTTATTTATTTATTTTTGGCAAGCATATAACTTTACTACTTACTAAGAGGAGCTGTTTTTAAAAACATAAACACTTCAAACAAAAAACAAGACCAATGCTGAGGGGCAAGCTTGTGTAATTGCCATATGATCAAAATCCTCAGACATCAACTGATAGATATATCTTCCTAGGACCAATTTTATATGACATTGGGGTTTTAAATCACATTTCTTTCTTTCTTTCCTTCCTTCCTTCCTTTCTTTCTTTCCTTCTTCCTTCCTTCCTTCCTTCCTTCCTTTCTTTCTTTCCTTCTTCCTTCCTTCCTTCCTTCCTTCCTTTCTTTCTTTCGTGTTTGTGTGTGTGTGTGTGTGTGTGTGTGTGTATACATGTGTCACCGTGCTTGTGTGGAGGTCAAAAGGCAACTTGTGAAGTCAGTCCTTTCCTTCCACCATAGGGATCTCAGGAATGGAACGCAGATCACCAGCTTATACAGCAAACACCATTACATTCAGAGCCGTCTCACCAGCCCAAGACAGTGATTTTTAACTTTTCATATACTCAGAAATTGGTACTCTAATGAAAAAAATACGAGTTTTGTCTTATAAAGTATACATAGTCACACAAACATTGACTTTTACATTCCAGTTTAGGAAAGCTATGGGCTTTCTAAACTCTACCCTGGCTTCCCTTTGAGGAAGGCAGACGGGTGAAACATCTCTGCCTTTGCCTCTGCCACTTACAACAAACTCCTTCATTTGTTTCTTAAAAAAATGTGGAATATGCATTTCCTTGAGATACAGAGGCAGGAAAACCACTTAAGCCCAAGAGCTATGGGTCAATGCCAGAAACTACTGAAGATTCCATCTTCTTAAAAAGTATGGCAGAAAAGGTTTGCAAATATATTGTGGACAACAGTCAATAGATCAAAAAGAAAGTATACTCACCATGGTGATGAACGCCGGGTTATTTATCAAGCTAGCCATGTCAAAGCTCAACCCAGTTCCGGTCTGTAAAAGAGTTAGATCTGAGATTCATTCCAGCCATTATGATGTCAATCAATCGTGAATGACAGACCTATTCCACAGACTTCACAGTGACAACTTACAGGACTAGCCACCTCTCTTAACTTCTGTTCCGCTATTTTCAGATTTGACTTATAGGAATCATTTTCAGGATCAAGATCCAGTGCCTTCTGGTAGCTTGTAACTGCCTCTTCAAACTTATTCATGGCGGTGAGGGCCAGCCTTAGGAAATAGAGTAGAGTTATATATACTAAAGAACAGCAGGGCATCATGATGACAAACACCTTAGTATTCAAATCTAACCCTGATTACACTGAATCCCTTATTACATTATGTTTCTAAGAAACTGCACTAAAATCCTCCTAATGCCAAGATTCTATAAGCCTGAGTTGTCTCCTTTCTGTTCGATTGCTGCCTCACACAGAGCATAAACCTAAAGCTCAGAGATGAAACGTATTTACTGTTCTATTTTTTTAAGATTTATTTATTTACTAGGTATATGGTGTTCTGCTTGCATAAATCCCTGCATACCATAAGAGGGTACCAGATCTCATAACAGATGGTTGTGAGCCATCATGCGGTTGCTGGGAATTGAACTCAGGACCTCTGGAAGAGCAGCCAATGCTCTTAACCTCTGCACCATCTCCCCAGCTCCCTACCTTTCTATTTTTTAAAGACTAACATGTAAATAAAGTAATTGCTTTATGATTCACTAGGTTGAGCTAAACAAAGATTTGTGCTAGCAATCCTGTGGTCATGGAAATCCATGATGCTGGCACCATCTCCAAGGACTCTAATAAACAGGAGTGTCAAGTGACCTTAGAACAAGGCTGCCACCTACAGATGTACTGGGTTGCATTCACAGCTATCCTGGAACCCATGCAGCCCACAGGTCCCAGGTGGGACACACCTGCATCAAACACTGTATTTCAAAGCATCCCACATTCTTCCTTCCTAAAAGAATTTGAACAATAATAAATATTAGTTTCCCACTTTTTTTTTTTTTACTGTTTTACTTCCTACAGCTTTTAAAAACTATTGATTTATTTCTGGGGAGGGCTGCCACAGGACAAATATGGAGACCAGAGGGCAACTCTATTGACTTGCTCTTTTCCTTCCACTTTAATATGGGCTAGGGGATTGAGCTCAAGTTGTCAGGGTTACACAGCCATTACCTACTGAGCCATTCAACTGGTCCCTGTTTCTCATGTTTTAAAAAGTAGACTGTGGCTGTCAGATGACCAGTCCTGACAACGTGTTAGTTGTTAGACAAAATAAGGACCTCTTATAATCCAAATAATGAATTACCAACACAGGCACAAGTCTATGCATTATTAAATTTCAATGTTTATCTTTTCCTACTACAATTTGCTTGAAAAATCATATCAGAATTAAGCAATAACAATATGTATGAAAATACAGTATTGTCTTATTTGTTCTGGGATTTTAAAAAAAAACAAATTAATCGAATCTTTCCTTTTCTGAATTAGCTCACAGATTTCTTATGTAGATAAAATAAGAAATTCTTACAACGCAACTAGTTTTCTATTAGTCAGCCTTGAAGGATCCTCACCAGAGTTTCCAATTAATAATGAAAGCATATTGTGTACAAGGTACTACTTTAAATCCTGTGCATTCTACATTTTTTAAAATTTTTTAAAGATTTTATTTATTTTATGTATACAACATGCTGCTTCCTTGTATATTTGGAAGAGGGCACCAGATCTCATAATGGATGGTTGTGAGCCACCATGTGGTTGCTGGGAATTGAACTCAGGACCTCTGGAAGAGCAGTCAGTGCTCTTAGCCTCTGAGCCATCTCTCTAGCCCACATTCTATACTTTTTTAAAAAGTTCCTAACTTTAAGAAAATCCCCTTGTACCTGAGAAGCACAGGCAACAACCATGCATACAGAGTAGGTAATATTAGGCAGAATAACAGCAGAGTATGCTCAAAAATGGCCACACCCAGAAGAGATGAATGACAGGAAGTAATCATAGAGAAGTTGTGGGAGGACTATCTACCCAAATGCAGCAATAAACACAGAGGCCCAAAGAAAGATGCAGGTGTGGTATGCTTAAAGTGCAGGACAAAGGCCCACAAGGACAGAACACAAAAAACAAGGTAGAGAGATCACCTGACTATGCTGGATCATATGGAACACTTTATAGTTCAGACTTTTTAACTACAGTTGCAATGGAATGATTGCAATGTCTGAGTTATGCTTTTAGGTTTTGGTGGGTAGGTCTGAAACAGGGTCTTATGTAGCCCAGGCTGGCCTCAAAGTTGCTATGTAGCCAAGGGTGATCTTGAACTCATGATCCTCTTGCTTCTTCCTCCAAAATGCTGGGATTGCAGGCATGCAGCACCAAACTCAGTTTATACAATGCTGGTACTCAAATCCAGGGCTACGTGGATGTCAGGCAAATGTTCTATCTACTTAGATACTCAACTCTTTGGGGCCATGCTTTAAAAGGCTTCCTCTGGATTCTCTGCAGAGGATAAACATTGGTGAGGTGTGGAACTGAGGCATAAAGACCAGTCAGGAGGTTACTAAAGGAAACCAGGTAAGAGGTGGCAATTTGGGCTAGGCCTAGAAGCAAGCTAGTCAACAACTGATTCCAAGATACATAGGAGAATGAGAATAGACCAGAAGTACTGGTAGATGAGATGGATGAAAAACAACTTAGCTTTTGATTTACACACTGGGTCGACAAATGCTTGGAAAAGATTTAAGAGAGCAAGAGCTCTGTTTGAAACACACGAAATTCAAAATGTCTATTTAATACTCCAACATTAAGGTAAAAATTAATGGAATATATGAGTACGGAGTTCAGAGAGAACTTAAGAGATACAATGGCACATATAGTCAATTCTCAACTCACAGAAATTAAATCTTATAAAGTCTCCATGAACACAAAACTAACTATTATTTAGCATTTGTTTCCATGGAAAATACATGGTTAGGGACCTATGAACCTTTTTTGTGTTTTTGTGGTCCAGGCTATGAGATAAGTTTATTCACACAGGTTTGTTACTTTCTCCTGTAGTCATGAAATACCCACTGCTGACCTTATCATCCTCAAGTGTAGTCATTTGCTCCATTTTATTACATTTATTTATCTTATTATCACACAGAGTGCAGCGTTTGGATATTCAACACCAAGCCTTAACAGTATATAGAATGCTACTTGGCAATACTCTAGACATCTCTGAACACTTACCCCATCCTTCCATAGGCCTTGCTGTATTTTGAATCAATTGCTATTGCTTTCTCACAGTCCTTTATTGCATCTGTGTAGTGACTTAATTTGCTTTGAGCAGCAGCCCTTAGAAGAAAAAACACTATAATCAGGCAGTTTTCAAGGCACCAGTCCAGGCTTTTCAGGCATGAAACTGCATAGTTCCTGTCCCAATTTTTACATCACTCTTCATAAATTTCTGAGTCAAACTGTCTAATTATACACCCATTTAAAAAAAAAACAGCTTAAAACATCAGAAAAATACGTAAGCTTCCTTTTCCCCTTCGCTTTACAGAAAAGACAAATGTGTGGGTCATATAACCCAGCTAGCTATTTATTGCCTCTCAATTCGCCTGAAATGTAAAAACACTGGGGTGTCTGGACCACTAGAGAGGCAGAAAGAGAGGGAAGTTGCTATGGATTGATCAGTTTAATAGTAAGGTTAAAGCTTATCAAAATCCTCCAAACCCATTCACACTTTCTCCCATCCATTCGCTCCTGACACAGACTCTAGAGACTGTTTCTTTCAGTCTCTAGAAAGTTATCATAATCTCCCTCAGCAGACCTCAGAATGTACTTCAGCAGAAGGCTGAAGAAGCTAACTCTAGAAAAGACAGCATCTGCCTAGGTAAACATCTTAGTAATTATGACCTGTCAATAATAATGCCAAGTTCGCTCAGATGAGAAATGGGGAGGAGGAGAAGCCCTAAGATTCATCCTCAGAGGCCAACAAGGACTATCTACTGCCAATAAAGGGCTACATGAGGGCCAGAGCAGGGGATCACACCTGAGGTTCTCAGGAATTTCCCCCCAAAAGGTATGCTGTGTCCCCCCAAACACTGTACTGCCAAAACCTGGGGTAAAAGCAGGAAGCCCTTTGGTGGGAAAAATAGTTAGAAACTCAGAAATTGACATAGATTCCTTCCGGTTCTTGAGTCTACAGACATCCAAAACAAACACCCACCACTCTCTCCCCAGGGAGGTTTCATTTTGGTTTTCAGCTATCATTTTGAGACACTGTCTTGTTATGGAGCCAGGCTAGTCTTGAATTCTCCTTCAGGCCTGAACCTCTCTAAAGCTGGGATTACAAATATTATGTTACCATGTCTCTCAGAAAACATAGCTTCTAGTCTACTTTTCTGTCAACCGCTCTTCATACAGCTTAACTGAGGCCCTTGCTTCTTAGAATAAGATTATAAAAATTTAGTGTTCATTAAACAATTAACATACCATCTTTCTTCTCAATTAAAAAAGTATAAGTGTGAGGAGTCGGACATAGTACTGGGCTCTAATCCAGGTCTTTGAAGATGCTAGGTAAGCGCTCTACCACTTAGTTACATCCCCAGCCCTGTTCCAGTACTTTAACCTCTTTTTAAAACCTCAAAGGCATATGGAAAAAGGAGCATGACTGAAGGAGCATCACTGTCCTCCCATGCTGACAATGAGGAACAAAGCCAAGAGATCTGACTCAGGAGAGAATGTGGGAACAAAAGGTGACTGCATTTCAAACTCTGTGTGTGTGTGTGTGTGTGTGTGTGTGTGTGTGTGTATTATGTGCATGTTTGTGGGCACACACATGGCACAGGACATGCATGGTGTTCAGAGGACAACTTTTGGGAGTGGTTCTCTCCTTCTGCAGCAGGCATTGTGGGAACTGAACTCTGGTCATCAGGCTTGTTGGCAGCACCTTTATACAATGAGCCAGCTATGTGGACAGTCCTGTGCTTCAATCCTGACAGCATTAGGTCACAGGTGGTAAGCTAAGGTGAAAGTGGATTTGTACAGCTCAGAGGCCTGGAGAGAAAGCAAACCAGGATGCATCTGAGTCTTCTGTGTATGAAGCCAAACATGTCAACAATTGCACACATGACAATGTGTCTGTACTCTATTTTCACTGTCTGGTCATGGGGCAGGAATAGTGAACTTCAGTACAACAATGTAGGCACACAGGCCTGTTTGTAGATACCTGCCCTTTTCTTGCCTTTAGAATAAAAGCATGAATATCACTTGAGTTTTATTTTTATAGAAAATAAAGCAGAAAATGCATAGCTATTCTGCACATTTCTTCAACTATCCATAATTATGTTATAACAAAACCTATTCTTATAACTAAAAACAAGCTTTAAACCATTTGCTATATTTTTAGTTTTAGAAGGGATCATTTAGTTAATTTATAATTTCAAGTTTTTTTAAGACATTTTTATTTTTATATACATTGGTGTTTTGTCTGCAATGTATGTCTGAGGGTGCCAGATCCTCTGGAACTGGAGTTACAGACAGTTGTAAGTGGCATGTGGGTGGTGGGGATTGAACCTGGGTCCTCTGGAAGAGCAGCCACTGTTCTTAACCCTTGAGCCATCCCTCTAGCATGAGTTTGGTTTTGTTTTGGAGAAGTTTCACTATGTAACTCAGGCTGACATCAAGCCTGCTATGTGGCATAAGTGGCCTCACCCTGAAGACAGTCCTTGTCTCAGTCTCTGTATTGAGATTATAGGTGTGTGTCACTTGTGTTACACTGTTATTTATTTATTTAGAGACAAGATCTCACGCTGTATCCCTAGCTGTTCTGAAAGTTCCTATGTAGGCCAGGTCCCCCTGCTAAGCACAGAGCTCTGCCTGTCTCTACCTCCTGGGTGGTGGGATTAAAGGCATGTGTCATCATGCCTGGCACCTGTCTCGAAAAACAAAAACAAACAAACAAACAAAAGCAATATATTTTGAAAGAAATATTTGAAGTCTAGGTCTAGCTAGGTTCTTTATGTATATTACCACCCATAACAGGGTACTTGAAGTGGCTAGTATTATGTTTAATTTGCAACTAAAGAAACAGATTATTAGTCAGGTGGTGGGGGGTAAATGCCTTTAATCTCAGCACTTGGGAGGCAGAGACAGGCGGATCTCTGTGAGTTTGAGGCCAGCCTGGTCTACACAGAGAAAGCTGTCTCAAAAAAAAACACAAAAAAGAAAAGAAGGGAGGGAGGGAGGGAGGGAGGGAGGGAGGGAGGAAGGAAGGAAGGAAGGAAGGAAGGAAGGAAGGAAGGAAGAAACGTGAACACCGAGTGTTTTTAGACACAGAAGACACACTGTAAAGTCCCCACTGCAATCACTTGCTGCTTTATGGGAACAGTCGTTAATGTGGTAATCCAACTGCTTCAACATTACTGGAAATGTCTTACATTTCCTCAGTAGCTCTCTGTTTATCTGTGTGAGTTCCTGGGAAGGACACTGCTGCTGCTGCAGTGCATACAAGATACACCCCAATCTCTGCCCTTCGTGGTAATAAAGAATGCAAATCTGCATCTAGCATGAGGGAAACATGCTAAACCTATGCAAGTATTACATATGTGGTAAGTGCTAGATGCTCAAGAAAAAAAAAATAAAGTAAAACACCCAGGCTTTCAAAAAAATTCTCATGGGCCAGAGAGATGACTCAGATCTTAAAGGCTAGGCTTCCAACCAAAAAGATAAAGAAGTACTCATGTCTTCTCTGTATCTGAAATGAGCCTAACTGTGAACAGTATCCTTCAAAGCCAAACTAGAAGGTCAAGACCAGAGTAGCACTGGGTGGGTGGGGAGCATTTTAACCAGCATTAACCTGTGAAATTCGGTGTGGAGAAGAAGGTTCCTACCTGGGAGTCCGAGGCTCCATTTCTAAGCAGCAAGGTGGCTAAGAAAAATGGAGTGGCAGTTGGCCAGGTTACAGCAGCCTATAACCCAAAATCCCCAAAATTATCCTGAAGTTTTTTATTCAGCATTTGCGTTATGTAGGCAAATAAACCTTCCTAATTGTTTAATATTCAACAGCATGTCCTATGACTGAACTCCTCAGGGGAAAGAGACTATTTAAATTCAAAAGAGAAGTGTATTCATTAATTTCAGCTTAACAGTAATTAAAAGCAAGAATAGATATTACCAAAATCTCTAACCCAGTTATAGCAGACATACAATTATTAGTGAATTCTAATCTCATGAAAAATGAATTGTTTACTGAGGCTCACATTTTTCATATAAACAAGTATGTGGCTTACTGTACTCTATAATCAAGCAATTTTACAGTACAATATTTATATCTTGTCATAATGTCATGATACTCTGAAATTTATTTCCAAGGTTTCATCTACTAAATTAAATTAAAAAATTATGTATATTTATCTGGCTACAAGACTGCGATTCAAGTATCAAAAAGTAGCTTGGAAGAAGTCCTCTTCCTCAACTTATTTTTGGGTTTTCTGTTTTTCTGAGATAGACTTAGAATGATTCATTTGTTTTTTATGTGTCTGTAAAAAATAAAATGGAGGTCCCAGTATGGCTCATTCAGTTCTTTATGGATCCAACCCTTCCACAAATAACTGTAAATTAAAGATGAAAGCAGAAGTTTACACAACTACAAATTAAAAACAAAAGCAGACATTTACACAGCAGAATTTCTTCTCTTCCTCCTCCTTTTCTTTTTTCAGACAGGGTCACACTGTGCAGCCCCGGCTGGACTCAAATTTATGATAGTTTGGTCTCAGTCTTCCTGAATGCTGGGATTACAGTTGTGTACAAAAGTGTGCTCAAATTGTGTGCTCAAAAGTGACTTCATTACTACTTGGCCAAGAGGCTCACCAATCTTTTGTGCAAACAATGCTAGCCTTAAGCATTAAAACAAAACTGCTAAAGAAATGACATAAGCAATAATTCTACACATATATCTCCCTAAAATAATTTTGGTGGTTTTTAGACATAGGGTCTCAGTATGTATCTCTGGGATGGCCTGGAACTCATGTGGACCAGGATGACCTCCAACTCACAGAGTACTGATGTTCTGTTTGACTTTTTGTTTGTTGTTTTGCTTTGTCTCAGCAGATATGTATAGTGTTTGAAAATTAAAGTCAGAAAAATACCCAAAATGTACAACCCAAAGGCAAAATGGGCTTTTACAAGAAGCTATCATTTGGAGCCCCTGCCAATGAGGAATCTACAATAAAAGCAGTTTCCCACTTTCCCAGATCCTAGCACCAATGAACAATGCAAGTATGGCAGTAAGCACCCATAACCCCAACAATGAGTGGGTAGAGACAGGCCAATCTCGGACTAGCTGGCCAGCCAATGTAGCATAACCTATGAGTTTTAGATTCAGTGAGAGACACTCTCAAAACAGGGTAGAGGGCAATAGAGGAAGAAACCCAAAGTCAAGTCTGAGTTCCACTCATGAGTATGTGCGCATGAGCACACACACTGTAGTACTTTGAATGAAACTGGCTCCCAAAGGGAGTGGCACTACTAGGAGGTGTGGCCTTGTTGGAGGATGTGTGTCACTGTGGGGTGGGCTTTGAGGTCTCTTTTGCTCAAGCTTCCTCCAGTGTAATTTTTCAGTCAGCTCCCTGTTGCCTGCAAGATGTAGCACTCTCAGCTCCATCACGTCTGCCTGCGTGCCACCATGGCTCCTGTCATGATGATAATGGACTGAACCTCTGAAATTATAAGCAAGCCACCCCAATTAAATGTTTCCTTTACAATAGTTATTGTGGTCATGGTGTCTCTTCATAGCAATAAAAACCAGAACACACATAGAATAAAAGTTAAGCATTAAAAAATGAGATGGCTCAGCACATAAGAGCAATTACTGTGCAACCGATGAACCTGAGTACAATCACTGGAACCACATGAGAAGGAGAAGACAAACTCCCAAACTGACCTTTGACCTCCACATTCAAGTATGTACCCTCACTCTCTCACACATATCCACATCATACATACACAATAATAATTTAAAACAATAAGAAAATTTAGAAGAACCCTAACCACACATAACCAACATTTTTAAAAATGTCCTCCCTGACTAGTCAGTAAACATGAGATATAATAGTTTATATGAAAACACTATTAAAATAGTGATAATCAATAACCAGGGAACCTAATGCTTATAAAGACCATGTCAAAAGTGGACATATTTATCCCTAGAGCAGGGAACAAAAGTTAGAACAATTTTTCAGTTAGTTTCAACTTTTTAAATGATTGTAACTGGTAAACCAACCAAATGCATTTTTATGGATAGCTCTAAAGTCCAGAAAAAAAATATTAGAAACACAGATGTTCACTAAATCTACATGACACTGGAAAAAGTGGAAACAACCTTAGAGCCCACAGAGGACAAAACATTAAATAAGATACATTCAGCCGGGCGTTGGTGACAGCACTGGGGAGGCAGAGACAGGTGGATCTCTGTGAGTTTGAGGCCAGCCTGGTCTCCAGAGCTATTGCCAGGATAGGCTCCAAAGCTACACAGAGCAACCCTGTCGCAAAAAACCAAAAAAAAAAACAAACAAACAAACAAAAAGATCCATTATAGGCACTGGAAATACAAATAAGAATAAAAGGTAACAATGACTATTTAAATAATGCTTGTGAAGAAATTCAAAACCTTAGGATGTCAGTTAGGACATATGCCACAATTGGTAGAGAGCTTTCTGAAGTACGTACAAAGCCCTGTTCAATTTCCATCACCACATGAACTGAGTGAGGTAGATTTATCCCAGAACTCTGGAAGTTGAGGCAGGAGGACCAGTTTAAGGCTATCATCAGCTATACAGGAAGTTCTAGACTAATGTGAACTACATGAGACACAATTATTGCATGCTCAGTTAACAAGTAGAATCTAAAGTTGACTTCATTCCTATAAAACAAAATATTCTACAAGAATATTAAGATTGGTGGCCTCTGAATGAAGCTTGGGCTTTTTTTCCCCCTTCAGCTTATTTTTTCATACTTGCAAATTTTTCTAAACAAACATATTTGACGTCTGCCTTTCAGAGTTTTGCGTCCCCATGCTTCAGGTTGAACATGCTGACAGGGAGCTGCCTTACCTGTTACAATAATAAACCGCATTATTGGGGTCCAATTCTATGGCCTGTGTGTAACAATCCACTGCAGCAGTGTAATTTTCCTCTTTCATGTGGTTATTGCCTACAATCAGATCAAGGACAGGCACTCTAAGCACAGAGTATGGAAAAGGGTAGTCTCACAGACACATTTCAACCATAGAAACTATAATAACATGAAGGTCACACACCATGTTTTTCAGTCATACTGGGGTCCATTTTATCTCATCCCATAGAGCTACTGTTCTTAGTTTCACAGGGTTTGAATCATTTAGGCAATGTGGAGTCATGGAAATGAATGCTAGCATAGCTTACAAAATCCAGTTGGTGGGAGTAAAGGCAAGCATCATGACTATGTCACAGATATGTATTCTCTCCTTCATCTTCCTCACTTTGTTCCTCTTTAGAGCAGTCTATGTTCCTCCCTTCCTTCCTAGCCACCACCTCAAGCTAGACCCAGCCTTCCCCTTTTCCCTTCAAAACACACGCAGGCAGGCACACACACACATACACACCACCTCTGGGTGGCCATGCTAGGAAGACTTCTGAGAGTAAGCTGGTGAAACCAATTGTGCTAATATGTCTTCAGCAGATAATATCCTTTTTAAAGGGGATAGAATCATTTTAAGGAGATTGTAGGAGATTAATTTCTAGAGAGATAGGATTTCAAATGCCATGCTAGCCTACTAAGTACTGATTTTTCAGGAAGGGCAATTGCACATACAGTTGACAGTAATTTAACTAGTGAAATGAAGGATTTCCTGTGACTATCTCGCCACTGCATCACATGAAGGGGTTCAGGGCCCAGTGTGTTGGTAAGAACCACTGGTTAACACAGAAAATCCTACAACTGAGGTGAGGATGAAGGACACATGTCTCAGAGCATCTGTGATTGCCCAGTTTTCTGTTTGTGTTCATGTTCTCTCGATTAGCTGCTTAGTAGGAAAGGGGGGTGGGATGAGCCTGCAGACAGCAGGAGCTGAAAGAATAAAGGAAAGGTGAGTGGTTAAGCTTCCAAGGTAAGCAAAAGCTGCTGTACATGAGGATTTGAGTAACTGCTAATGGGGGAAAAATGGCTAATAATTGATTTGGCTGTAAAATCTTCAAGTGCTATAAATATAGTGAAAAAGCAACTCATATAAAGAATAGCTCAAGAAATTTGTTTTTAATAAATTCAGTTGAGGCAGTTTCCTCCAAAAGTCATTAATATAAAGAACTTCATCTTGTTTTGTGTTTGTTGTTGTTTGTTTATTTTTGAGACAGGATTTCTCTGTGTAGTCTTGGCTGTCCTAGAACCTGCTCTGTAGACCAGGCTGGCCTCAAATTCACAGAGATCTGCCTCTTAAGTGCTGGGATTAAAGCTATATGCCATCACTACCTGGCAAAAAAGTTTTTTAAAAAATCGAAGAGGGGACTGGAGAGATAGCTCAGAGGTTAAGGGCACTGGTTGCTCTTCTAGAGGTCCTGAGTTGAATTCCCAAAAACCAACCGCATGATGGCTCACAACTATAGATAATGAGATCTGGTGCCCTCTTCTGTCATGCAGGTATACATGCAGGCAGAACACTGTATACATAATAAATAAATAAATCTTTTTAAAAAAATGTTAAAGAAATTTAAGAGGATAACAAACTTTTATGTATAAGAAAATAGTTAATTACATTAGCCTGGCTATATTTCCTTGTCAAAGACTTTCTTTCTCTTGGTTGATATTTTTGCTATTGCTGTTGGACTTTTTTGCATTGGGGTAGTATTTTATCATTAAAACTTTACTGGGTCCTTCCTATGAACTACCTTAAATGTGTTGGTGCTATAACATGCTATAATATATAGATATTACAAACACATTCAAGATATAGATATTACAAATGTATGCAAGAACTGTAACATAAGTTAAGGAGTAAAAACCTCCATCTATAAGACAGTCAATATGCAAACTCAGGACACAAAAGCAACATACACAACAGTAAAGCACTGGTATAGCATTTTATAGTTGTGTGAAAATTCTCCTACAAAACAGTCTCCTTCCACTTTCACAGCCCCAACAGGAGATGGCAGCCTCAAGCCCTTCCTGCTTCCTTCTGCTCTTCATAAGTACATGAAACATCTGAAAGCTATGCTCCAAGCGGGCACAGTGCCAGTCTGGAATGACCCTGTGCCTGACAATATACGTGATCATTTGTTTATACATAAGTAGCAAAATCTAGACAAAATGGCCATCATTTTGACTTGGGCTATAGCATGTCTGAAATATGACATGTCTCAGTGAAAACAAAGAACAGAAAGCTTTTGTTAAAGGTGAAAGCCAGTCTCTCCATCTGCTGTGTGGAGTCTCCTGATATACCCCCTTCTAATCCACATCCTCCTAACACTCATTACATCAAAACAAAACCAAACAAAAATCTCCACAGGGATTGCCATTCCCCAATGCTGCCATGCAGAGCATGTAGCATGGGGGACAAAAATAACATTTCAATTTGCCACGTACTGAACACTAACACCAGCACTAAACCAGCTGCCACAATAAAAAGGCAGTAGAGACTGCACAGCATCACTGAAGTGTTCACACAGTGCAAAACCCGAGTGGGGAAAAAACTTCCAATGAAGCAGCTCCAAATAGAAAGTATAACATGAAAAACCTATTTGTGTCTGGAATGCTAAAATACAAAAGCTTTGGGAAATACAACTCAAGTGGCAGTGAGTAATGGGTGCTACTTTTATTTTATGTGTAAATTATGAGATCATAGTATTTTAAGATTTCATGGCCTTCTGATAATACCATTTTTAGAGGAAACAAAATTGAAAACAGAGAATAGTCTACTTGTCCAAAGCACAGAACTTTATAATGCAATCCTAGAAAGACAAAAACATTGAGGAACAAGGATGTAATCAAATATACTAGTTAATAAACAAGACAAATGTCATATGTAAGCATGAATGGATTTCAGAAATCTTCTTAAAACATTAATTATGTGAAATTTAAAATTATACTTAAAACTAATTACCATTTTTTGATTAAAGATAAAGAAGAATGTGAGTCAAATAGCAAACGCCATTCCCAGTAAATAGCCCATAAGGTATTTGTTGGGTGAAGCTTACAAGAGATTGGCTAGTCTTGACTACCTTTGTATTGACATGGCGTTCTGCGGCACCAGACCTCTTACCCATCACATTCACATCTGCTCCACAAGTGCTACAGGGATTACGACAGTACAAACAACAATGCTATCAGCTCAGGGTTGCATCTCCAGAGTGGCAGAAAGCAACTTCTGCAGGCGGTATTTACCTTCATCTTTCAATTGATCAGCCTTTCCCACATCTTCAGGTACTGAGTTGGAAAGGGGCAGAATGTCATTCTGAAATGATACCAAAATTTGTTTCTTTTTAGCTACACAAAAAGTCACCAGAGAGCTATAAATAATAATAATTGCACACATTTTAGTAACTTGTCTGTAATTCCATTTCACTAAATGTAACACCCAAGTAAGTGTTAACAAGAAATGGGAAAAAGTCCTCTCATATAATTTTATTAGAAATATGATTTGTTGAACTTTTCTAGAAAATAGGTACCTGAGAACCAGCTGTTTTTCCAGTTCTGTGATTCAACCTCACAAATGCTAGACAAGAGCAAACCATTGAGCAGCACCACTAGCGTGCTGGTTTTTCTCCTTTCACTTTACTTAGGGTCTTTCACACTAAGATGCCTAGACCATCCTTGAACCTACTTGACAGCCCAGATGAGCATCATCCCTATGATTCTCCTGCCTTGGAGTTAGAATTACAGGTCCAGTTTTCTCACCCACCCCAAATGTTTTCCCATGACCAGAAATCCCATTCCACAAAATAAAGAATTGATATACAAAGAATAAGAACAGAAGTGGAAACTGCAAACAGAATGTTTATTATCCTAAGACATGTATTGTAATGCTGTTTATCAATAAAAATGGCATCTATAATGTGGTCATTTGAAGACATACAAAAATATGCACACACACAGAATCATACACAAAGACTGAGACAGTGTATGCCAAAAGTTAACAGTATTAATATTTGGAAATAAACATTTCAGTCTCTTCCTTATATGTCTCTGTATTGTCCAGTGTTTTAAACAATAGTCAAATAGTAAATAATAGGTAAGATGAACAACAGCATGAAATTCTGTACCAGCACCTACTACCATCCGTAAACCTCTTAAGCAAAAATTTAAACTCAAAGGTGCTTCTAAAAGTAAACTGAACATTAAAGCGTACTCTGAATGACAATGGAAACATTTGTATCTTTGCATTTATGAATGACCTTTTTAAAATCATATCATTTTTAACTTCACTCTAAAGTTAAAAATAATTCTACAATATTGAAAACAAAGAATAATTTGTAACTTCTATACCAATATACTATCCTTAAAATATAAGGTAATCCTTTGTCTGAACTAAAGTTTCAAGGAAAGTGACAAATTGAACATGAAAAAAATGTACTTTGCTAATTAGAAATACTCACAAGTGCAAAATCACTGACAAAGAATTTGACTTTTGTCTTAAAAACAAAACAAAGTCAGGCAGTGGTAGTGTATGCCTTTAGTCTCAGCACTCAGGAGGCAGAGGCAGGCAGATTTCTGTGAGTTTGAGGCCAGCCTAGTCTACAGAGTGAGTTCCAGGACAGCCTCAAAAGCTACAGAGAAACTCTGTCTCAAAAAATCAAAAACAAAACAAAACAAAACAAAACAAAAAACAAAAAAAACAGGCAGTGGTGATGCACGCCTTTAATCATGAGCACTCGGGAGGTAGGGGCAAGTGGATCTCTCAGTTTGAGGCCAGCCTGGTCTACATAGTGAGTTCCAGGATTGCCAGGGCTACACAGAGAAACCCTGTCTTAGAAAAACAAAACTAAATTAAACAAGCAAACAACAACAACAACAACAAACAAACAACAGCTAAAAAAAACATCTAACAGGGCTGGAGAGATGGCTCAGTGGTTAAGAGCACAGGCTACTCTTCCAAAGGTCCTGAGTTCAATTCACACACACGGTGGCTCACAACCATCTATAAATGATATCTGGTACCCTCTTCTGGCATTCAGACATACATGGAGTCAGAGCACTTATACCTAAAAAGACACATAAATAAATAAAAATTTAAAACACCTAACAAAAAACCCCTTCTCTATAAAGCATAAAATATCAAATTAAAAAGACACAGAAACTAAGTGTGTCTCATGACACACTTATGAGCACTCATGAGTAGTCACTGCCTAACTACGATTCCAAGACTTAGTCCCTCTGGCTCTATATGCGTTTAGCATTTCACAACTTCCAGCAAACCTATGCAGTTTATTAATCTAAAAAAATAAATCATTTGGGTCAGAAAAATGGCCCAATGGAAAACTGATTATAATTTATTTTCTTTTCCAACTCCTTAACTTTTAAAATGAAATCACAGTTTTACACTGAAAATTAATTCTTTATACTCACTAACTACATCTGAACACTTTAAAATGTGTTGGCAGTTGTTATATATTTTAAATAAAGGGAACGAGTCCATTTTGTATATGTATAAACCAAACTAGGGGGCAGGAAGAAAAAAGCAGAATCCTAAAATTAAAATGACTAATACTATACTCAAGTACATTTGATGAGACAAACTCTTTAATCACAATGATGTCAATACTAATCATAATGGTGTAAATGCTGCTTCCACACACTTTTGACTTTCCCTGCTGTATAGTATTAACATGCTGAGTAGAAGCACAGGTGTAGACCATAGAGCCACAGGTGTAGATCTGGGTACTAAAGGATGATGCTACCACAAATAATATCCTGAAGATGTCAGTCTCCACCAATTCACATTTTAAAAGATTATACAACAAATCTCTCGAAACGTGGTGCCATCAGAGAGCTCACCTAAAGAGCTTTATTGAAGGAGAGTATAAAAGCCAACTTGATGTTCCTGGAAGACAGTAACCACGGTAATTAGTGGTGATACTTTCAGTATTGTCAGTGCAGACACTAGCTTGAGAGCAAGCAAATTCCAACTGCTGTCTGATAAACAGCCCTTGGAAAACTGAGCATAAAAGATCTGCTTTTAGGCATGATCATATTTGGCAACTAAAACAGAGTGTCTCAGGAAGCCACAAACCTCAGACACATGAAAACGATAAACAGCTCATCTTAAAGTGAAGATAAAAGAAAGAGCAGAGATGCGCAACTCCTCACATATTGTCCTACAAGTTCATTTACTTGGCGAGTTAACCTGTACCTACCTGCATTATTCTCTTCTACGTCTAAAACAACCAAATTCCATCTTCACTGCAAACACTCCAAGAATCTCTTGCCAATATGTTCTAGAAACAGAGTGTGGGGAACGCAGCTAAATGTACTGTCAGAAACATCCACTCGAAGCTGAAGCTAACACCTCCTGTGCCAGCATCACTCCCAAACTCCTCATCATGCAAGCTCCAGTACAACACTAGAAACAACAGTGCCCAAAGTGGGTGCTGGGAACACAACCCTGGTCTTCTGAACCAGCAGTATGTGCTCTTAACTGCTGAGCAATCTCTCCAGCACCCTTGATATTGGAACTTTAAAAATAAGCTATGAAAGACTTCAAGGTAGGCAAGGCGAGACTGTGAGACTAGCTGCTAATATGAACATCTGAAGCACATTAAGTGAGGTATATTTTAGTTCCTAAATAATATCCAGGAAGAAGCTGATTATTTGTAGACCTATCCCCTCAACTATTAAGAGTGCAAGACAAGATGGGCAATGGTGGTGCATGCCTTCCTTCAATCCTAGCACTCAGGAAGCAGAGGCAGGCACATCTCTGAGTTCAAGGCAAACCTGGTCTACAGAGTGAGTTCCAGAACATCCAGGGCTACATAGAGAAAGCCTGTCTCAAAAACAGAAAAGAGAGAGAGAGAGAGAGAGAGAGAGAGAGAGAGAGAGAGAGAGAGAGAGAGAGAGAGAGAGAGAAAAGAAAGAAGGAAGGAAGGAAGGAAGAAAAAAGAAATCCCCAAATAAAACTGGATCATACTTGCATCAAATACTATTGAGAAGAAGAAAAAAAATGCCAACATACCTTACAGACGGTGTTTGTGAACATTTCTGTCAAAGGCTGTGAAACTGCTAGATGTGTATCTTCTGAACTGATCTTAAAAACTGTCTCCAAGCACTGAATTGCAACTTGAAATAAAATAAGGGCAGGAAGATTAGCAACTTTAAAAAGGAAACTTCGGTTTTCCCTTACAGAACTATAATCTATGGTAAGTCAGGGTTTATGGTCAAAGAACAGGAGGAGAACTAATTGGTCCAGCTGCGTAGAGATTTCTATTTATAGACAAGCTATCAGAGGAAGACAGTGGTCTCTTATTTCTCACTAAACAGTAAGTGTTAGTTAGAATATAATTTCTGAACATACATAGTACATCATATTCTTGATGAAGGATACCAGAAAGAAGAGCATGTCATTAACATCTTACATTCAAATACTAATACCTAACTAAGCACCAAGGCATCAAACAAACTTAAAATGTTATACATATTTTATATATGAAGAACAAGATTTGCAACTCGATGAGAATTAGTAAGAGAAGCATAATACCTGGCCCAAAGCAGGCACTAAATATTAATCCTGGCATAGTATAATAAAAATAGGTCTGTTTTAGAATATTCATTCATGTATGCAAATTTACTATGTGCCTACTATGTGTAAAGTTCTGATCCTAGGTGCTAGAGGAACAGCAATAAACATAACAGGAAAAACAAATCACTGTCCATATTATAAAGCAAAATATACAGCATACTAAATGATGAAAGTTGCCTCATCTATTTTTGGTGGAGGACAAAATAACTGGTTGGTACAGCAAGGGTACAAGGTACAGACTGAGGCAAAGACACGAAGAGAGATTATGTAAGAATCAAAGACTTAACAGATCACAAGGCAGCTTCAATGACATTTTTAAAAAGTGGGACTGTGAAACTGGCAAATGGAGGGCTTTCAAGGATTTCATGAAGGAAAATAGCTGTCTGTGTTTAGAACTAAAAGGCTGGTAGAAATGCTGAGAATGGCCTGGAGAAAGAAATAGGAAACCAGGTGGGCTCCCACTCAAATGACATACGTAACTGAGCAGCCCAAGGCAGAAGCTGTGAAGAGACATATCTCGTCCTTTCTGCAAGGACCCTTTGAGGAGACAAGACTGGCTCTTATCCTGATTGTGCTCCAGCTGGAAAAGAAACTAAGCATGTGGCCAAAATAACCACTGCCCTTCTAACACTCCTGAATAGGTTCATGCACATTTTACGAGACTTTTAAAAGCTACTCTATGTTTTAATTGTGGTTGAGAAAAGTGTCTCTATTGTAAAATAAATACTATTACTTTCAGCAACCACAGAAAAATTCTCCTTAGAAAGGGACCTGAATAAAGCACCAAGTTCTACACAGTAAAAAGTAAAAGTATCTTTTAGGGAGAAAATAATCTATTTACCTAAGTCTAAACTTTCTTCCTTCCCTTTCTGTGTTTTGATATTTTGACCTCCTCAGTAGCTAGAACTACAAGCAGATGGCTTTCTCCTTTTCTATTTCTCCCAAGCAGATAAAGCTGCATGTAAAATGCAGGAGTGCAAATACATTTGTTTTTGGTGTCATAACACATACAATAATAAAAACTTATGCATATGTATTTGTTTACCCTTGTACCCTCCATCCTTCATCAGATTGTCATTCTTTACTGTACCATGTACTTTGTAGGGTTCTATTACTGGAAAGACTGCTCTATGTCATATGCCATGGCATGCATGTATCTCGTGTTGGACTGTCTCCTTGAGGACAAGGCCTATTATCTTACTCATCTTTGACTTTAACAAAGTCTGGCAAGTAGTAGATGGTCAACAAATGGAATCTGTTGGCTTCTTTGTCTGCAGTACATATCATACTTTAAGTTTCAAGGAAATTTAAAATTATCAGATCTATGGCAGAGAGCATTTCTCCTGCCCATCACCTGGCTACCAAAACCAAAACAGCAAAACACAAACATAAATTCCCAAACACAAAAATAGATCAAGAGAACAAAAACAAGATGCTAACTACAAACCAGGCCATGGAACTACAGAGCTAAACAGACAGGATAGATTCGCTACAGAAACAGTCTATGGGGAGGGGTTGATGAATTCTGCCCAGTAGACTTAGGAACCAAGATAAAGACCAGATAAATACAAACCTAGGATTATGGAATTCAATTCAACAAATACAAATGGGGCACCTATCACATGTTAGCTCCCTTTCTAGATACTTTCTATACCAGTGATTCATACAGAATAGAACCTTAACCTCTTGGAGCAGAAGATGAGAAGAGGACTATAAATAAGAAACAAGGGTAAGGAGGACGGGGAGGAAGGGAGATGAGCAGGGACACAGATTTAACTTAGAGTTCAGGGCAGGCCTCCTTGAAAAAGAAATCTGACAGACTCCAAAGGGATGGAAGTGTTATCATTACAGCAGGTACAGATGATGGGAGGCTATTCCAGGCCAAGGAAACAGACAGAGCAAAAGCCTTTAGGCACAAGGATCTGAGGCCTCCCCAGTAAGGAAGCTAATTTGGCTGAAACCAAATGAAAAACAGTAGGTGGACAATATGTCCAAATTCTATAGATTCTTTATACAGTGACTAAGGAACATAGGAGTTCTGGCAAGATTCTACATATTGAATAACAGAATCTGCCAGTCTTAAGAGATGGATGAGTTTGGGTAGTCCAAGGAGCCAGGAGTGGCAAAGAAAGACCAGTTAGGGGTTATCACAGTAGAAAAAGAAATAAGCAGGCAGCTTCAACCAGGGGAGATTCCAGTGGATATGGTTAGCCTCAATTTTTTGTTTGTTTGTTTTTTGAGACAGGGTTTCTCTGTGGCTTTGGAGGCTGTCCTGGGACTAGCTCTTGTAGATCAGGCTGGTGTAGCCTCAAATTTTATTTTATGGTTTTGTTTGGTTGATTTTTGCAGTACTGGGGACAGCAGGGCACACCAGGCAAGCACTCTGTGACTGAACTATATTCCCTAATCCCTGACTCAAGATGCATTTTGGATGCATAGACTTTTAGTTCTGGTGTGGTGGTGCACACCTTTAATTCCAGTACTCAGGATGTAGAAGCAGGTAGATTTTTGAGTTTGAAGCCAAGCTAGTCCATAGAGAGATTTCTGGCCAGAGACACACAATGGGATCTTAAGAAAGAAGGGACAGACTGATTTCTGAAGGCACAGACAAGAAGATCTATGAGTATGAGAAGAGTATGAGAAAAAGAAGACCCTAGAATGATGCACAAGTTTTTAGCCCAAGCAAAGGGAACACTGGATCTGCTCTCCCTGAGAGAGGGAAGTTGTGGATAGAACAGATTTTAGGTGGGAGGACTGTGAGTTCAGTTTTGGCAATGCTAATTTTGAGATGCCTACTAGACTTGCAAGTAGAGATGAGGTAGGAAGCTGGATATAGAAGCCTAGGTTTAGAAGAAAGTTCTGGACTGGGGTTACAGTTCTAAGAACTTTCAGCATATAAATTTGGGGGTACCCCAGACAAATAAGTAAATATTCTCACCAAAGAAAGGAGTGAAGATAGTGATAAAAAAAAATCAGTCAACTATAGGCATGATAGTTCAGGAAAAAGGGAATCAGCAATGGCGAGAAGGAGCAAGAAAGGAAATGAGGTGATAACCAAGGGATTATGAGATGTTCTAGAAGATAAGTAAAATACATGAGAATGGGATGAAGGAAAGAATTAGTAAGTCAGATAAAGAATAAAAACTGTTTAACTAAACACAGAATCACTAATGCCCTTAATGAAAGTAGAATGGATGGAGACAAAGGATTAAAATTCTGAAAATTAAGAAATAGAAGAATTGGAGAAAGCAAGTTTAGACAACTCTTCCAAACAGTTTTGTTACAAAGGAAGACAAAAAAAAAAATCAGATAAGGGGGACTGGGTACAATGACAAGAATATCCACATTAAAGTATTATTTTTATTTTATGTGTATGGGTGTTTTGACTGTATGTATATGTTAGTGCATCACATTTGCACTTGGTGCCACCAGAGGTCAGAAGAATGCACTGGATTCCCTGGAGCTAATGACAGTTGTGAGCCACCATGTAGGTGCTTGGGATTGAACTCAGATCTTCTGGAAATACAGCCAGTGTTCTAAATCATTGAGCCAACTACCCCCCCAGAATTACTTGTGTGTGTGTGTGTGTGTGTGTGTGTGTGTGTGTGTACCAACTGTGAAAGGAATGCCCTCAGAGACCAGAAGAGGGCTTCACATCCCCCTGAAGCAGCTAGGGCTATTGGTGGGAGTGAACCACTCAACATGGACTGCGAACCTAACTCAAGTCCTTTAGAAGAACAGCAAGCACTCTTAACCACTGAGCTATCTCTCCAGCTTTATTCATTTTTCTTTTTATCAGTTTTTTTATGAAAGAAGAACAAGTGGTAAATTTATGATTAGGTAAAAATGATCTATTGGAGTGAAAATTTGATGATGTAGACAAATCCTGGCTGGTGAGACAGGATGGGACAAATGTGCCAGTAGAGAGATGTCTCTGAGAAGAGAATGTAGTTAATCCACAAATGGTAATAGGCTGGCAGATAGGCTCCATTAATTTATAGTCAAATGGATAAGGACACTGAGTAGATAGAAAATTAAAATTAAAGTTTTTGTTTTTCAAGACAGGAGAAGTAGTACAAGAAAATATCACAATGATCCACCACAGGATTTAAGACAAGTAAGAAAGAGGTGGGGAAAGTATAGGAGCAACAGATTGGAGGGGTAGAGGGGTTGTTCAAGTAATTGTTGGGATATGGATACTAGAGGGAGTATGCTAGAAACACAGGCAGTAGAAGTCAGAAAGTAAAATGTTTAAGATAGAGATTGCTGGTGGAATACAATTTGAAAATGATACTGTCTAGGAAAGGGGTTCTGTGTCTCATCACCTGACACTTTAGATCAGATAGTTCCTTATTATCAAGGCTTGTATAGGGCAGTGTTGAGTGTTTAACATCATCTATGGCTTCTACCCATGAGTTGCCAGTAAGACCAGCCTCCCCAAAGGTTGTAACACTCAAAAATGCCTCCAGACTTTGCAGAATGACCCTAAGTTCAGAAACACAACCTAGTATATAACCAAGTGGTTGAGATCAGGGGAGGAGAAAAGTGCAAGGAGCCAGTGGAAGAGAACTGCAAGAATCATCCTGGAGTTTATCAGGATTGGAAAGAGCAAAGATGGGAGTGGGCCTTGCAAGAACGACAGTATGCTGAAGCAACAACAATCAAAAGTGAAGCAGATGTCAGAGACGACAACAATTAGGAGGAGTGCATGACATAATCTGGTAACAAACCTCAAGGCTGATGAAACACAGCTCCACAACAGCGGTAAATCTGGTGCTAGAACAACGGAGCCTTTCCTCTAAGGCATTTTTAAATGTCTAGAAGGTGGGCAGACACCTCCACATGATTTCATGTTCAATTAAATTAGACTCACAGAGTCAAAAATAGGGGTCAGTCACAAACAATTGGCACCATTTCTGACTCCATATATAACAAACAGCTGAAGGCACATATTTTTGGCTGAATGCCATTCTAAAAATAGGGCATAGCATCTTGGTTTTTAAAATACTCTCGATTTTCTTTCTGCTTCATAAAAACACCATACTGCCTTAGATTAGAAAAGAAGTATCATTTATTATGTGATTGACTTCCTCTGTTCCCATAGAGAAATCACAACCAAGACTTTCTTTGATAGCCAAGCTACCTTCATCTTCACATAGTCTGGCCATCAGGGAGGACAAAAAGACCTTAATATTAAACAGGCTAATTTGCAATGTCCTCCCTCTGTGCCTCACCTACTCCTCTCATTGCCACCTGGAAAGACATCATCTCACCGGACAATTTACAACAAATGCCCAACTTTGATTTGCACCTACTTAAAGCATATCTACAAAGAAAGTGCACAGAATTAATAGATGAGGCCCCTCTATAGGAGAAGCAACTTGAAGATGGGAAATTCAAACTGTACTGCTATTTATTAAGCTCTCCCGAAGTGTGCTGTCATTGCAACAATTAAGTCTCTGGACCACACATAGGCTTACTGAACTTTCACAAGCCCATCGGCTTGCATCATTCTACCTTCTTATAGCTATACTAAATTAAAATTTTATAATACATAAACATGAAGCACAAAGATGGTATCAAGGAAATACATGGTGCTTCTCTAGTCCCGCTCAGTTTTACAGATTACTGAATCCGAGATTTAAAGCTCACATAAAACAAGGGCAAAATCCTCTCATTTCCCAAAGTAGCATTTGCTGGAGCTCAGTCATGGCATAATTACTTAGATTTTTTTTTTTTTTACATAGTGCTATAGCAATGACTAAGGAATTTTCAAGTGTTCTTCTGAATGAGATCCTCTCCTTATTAGAGAAATGAAGAAAAAAATCTTTAAAGTATAGACTGGGATTTAAACCTCAGCTTTGTTGCATAGTAACTGTTCTGTTGCTTAAAATTATCTGATCTCATTTCCTTATCTGTTAAGTGGGAACAATGGTAACTTCGCTCCCTTGAAGAGAAATTTCCCTAGAATATGAATGATATACTTCTGACAGTAATTTTTCAGTAAATAAACAACAGTCCTATTTTTTAATTAGCTAAAACAAGTCTCAGGAAATGGAAATAACACATCTAGTTAAACCTCTCAACAAAATATTATGACTTTGTTATTAAAAACCATAAGCTTGGGATTGTAGCTATTTTAATCTTTCTCTATAATTACGACATGAACACAAAGAACAGATGCCTACCTTCCAAACTCTCTTGTTCATCCGAAGTATATGCATCCATCTGACTTTGTTCCCGCAAGAAACGAATAACTGCATAAACCAGAGGCTTGACCGATGACATTTTAGAAGCTTAAATACCTCCTGGATGAAAAAAGAAGAAAATATTAATGATCATACACTATGTTAAAAGCAATAAAAATAAAAATATTCATTACCCTGATCTCTTCTCTCTTTAAAGCATCAAGAAAGCACAAGTTGTAACAGTAATGTATTCCACACGTTCATTCAAACCCAGCACTATTAAACTATGTTAAAGCCTGCCTCAGGGAAAAAAAAAAAAAAAAACATGTTTTCAAATCATGTGTAACAAAGCTTAGAACTCACCCTGTTTTAACAATGCATAAGATACAGACACAAGAAAGTGTAGGAGTATAGACACGAAGAATCACCTTTGAAAGGCCTCACTTTTAATTGAGGAGATTTAGTATACTGCTGACTCAGAAGGCGAGCCACAATGACCATCTTCCTTTATTTCAAGAGGGTTGTTTTTTTTAATGTATTAATAATTTACACTCCACTACTTTTGTAGGTTGAGAGTTACTTGCTGACGACAAGGCTCTGTGGAAAGGTTGTTCAACCATTGAGTACTATTGTTAATAAACAGCGTTTCTATATAATCAACACACTGCTCAGAAATCACCGTCTAAACCGACGGGTAACTACAAACCGACCTTCCCTGCCTGCAGTAGCTGTGCTCTCGTGGACAAGCTGGAAGCTCCTGGCCGCGTTCATTCACATGGAATACTATGCATCCAAACAGTGGCGCTGGGCCAGGCGGCATTAATGGCTTATTTCCACTAAATCGTATCAGCAATCTGCTACCCGGGATCCCTAATTCACAGCCAGGGTGTGGTACTGGCCGCTAGGATGTTTATTGGCTTTGTACTTCTTTTAAAGCCGAGCCCAGTCTTTAGGCCAGAGTGATTATTACACATACTGACTAAGGCCCAGGGGGCAGAAGGGGCGAACAGAATGGGGGGTTGGGGGGAGCTGTCCAACCTCCTCCAAGTTTCCCCTCCTACATCTCCAATCACATCCTCCTCCCACTCCATGGTTCCCTCCCCGCTGTACCCCGGCTTTGCCTCAGCCCAGACCGGGTTTGCAAGGGGTGCGCGGTGCAGGCCTCCATCTGGGGCTGCGGGAGACGCACCCTTTCCAGATAGAAGCCCCTTACCAGGCAAGAGGACA